ACCAGAGTAAGTATTTCTTTCAAACATCTCAAAATCAGACAGTTTTAATAATAAATATATGTTGAAAGAAACAAGAAGTATCACTTGCAAGTTCTATAATTCGCTGCTTTTTATTTTTTAATATATTAGTATTTCTAAAAAATGAATCAGTAGATCAAATTACAAACTGTTATTTTTTTTCTTGAAGACATTAAGGGAAAGTTTAATAAATTTTTCGTTTAAGAAGCTTTTATCTCTTCCTCGGAGGAAGATGGAAGAGCTAAATAGAAAAATAGATTCACAAAAAAACAGGTTTACTTGCACTTTTATTCAAAAGCCATATCATTTCATATATCAGATCTATCTCATGAGAACTATATTTGAAGTGTTTAAAAAAAGGTTACTTATCCGTATTAACATGTTGTCACAGGTAATTTAAAATACATTTTGGTGCGAATTAAATAAAAAAATTTATGTATTAAAATGGTTAAATGAGTTGAAATTATTAAAAATAGTTAGTGATTGAATATCATAATGAACAAATTAAGGCCGAAAATAGTATAAAAGGTAATTAAATAAAAGGAAATGTGATCGTTAAGGAAAGTGGTAGTACAATGCTGTCGTGGGATAACCCAATCCAAGGTTCAAGGGGTCACAAAGCGTGAGGTTTGAACAAATTGGATAAATTGGTTGCACCAAATTTTGAATAAGGGTGAAAACTAAAAATTAATCAAAATCAAAATTAGATGATAAATAAGATAATGACGTGCTATATCCAGATACAAATTTAACCTTTAATTGAAAGATGATGCTTCCAATAAGAAAAACTAGCGGCCGGGATAGCCTGATTGGTAGGGCATTGGGCCCATGTCCAAGACGTCGTGGGTTCGATCCCTAAAGACCGAAGACTCCCCGTGTTGTAAATGGTGACTGATGCATGTTTAATCTGTCGAGTCTCATAGTCCTCCATGTTCCCATAACAAATCAATACCTCTGGGGATACTGGATTGGAGATTCTCTGATTCAGGTCAAAATTACGATCTGTGGATGAATGAATGAATGCATGAATGGATCCGCCCTGTAAACGGGTGTGGCAGAGGTCGAATTCTTGGCCATAGATGGCGCCACTGGAAAACAAGAACAATCGCACCCCCTCTGCCTTAATGGCATACGTCAACAATAAATTCTTTTAACAATAAAAAAAGGTTCTCACCACACTTATACAGGAAGACATTTAAAAAGAAAACCATCAATAGAAGACAGGCAAATAAATTCTTCTGCACAATACTTAATTATTAACAAATCATTTCATTTAGTAACACATATCTTTCGTTACATTTACTACACAAGAAAGGCCCTTATTTGAAATGGGTGACGGGAGAATTGAAAGAATGAAGGCGTCATGCATAAAAGTAAAGTGTAAAAGAGCGAGTGATTTGACCGTTAAAAAAAATAGAGAATGAAATCTTAAATTTGAGAGGGTCTTTTTAGTGTTGAAAAAAAATTAAAGGATACGATGAGGATATTTAATTTTCTGAAATTAATATCATAGATCCAATTAAAATTATAGGCTAAGGAAAGTATGGAGAACAGGAATTCCTTCAATGCTCGGAGAAAAAAAAAGAGTAACCAGCGCGGAAATACGAAGAAGAGATTCTGTTCAAAGAGTCTGATAAAAAATTTGTTAACTGGTGTAGGACCAGAAGTGAATAGCCAATTAAATTTAAAAAGGAGTAGAGTTTGAAAAATAAAAGGAAAGAGATTAGTTAAATTAGCCCCCCTGAAAAAGTAAAAGAAGAAAAAGAAAGGCTGGTATAGAGGGGTTGACACTCCCCACAGGAAGGACGATGACCACGTTGACCATGAGGAAGGTCAACCAGAAAGTTAAAATAAATATAATTGCTATATTAAAAAAAGGAATAAAGTTTTAAGAAAATTAAAGGATTAGATATAATTAAGAGTTAATTGTCACTTTACATTAAGTGTAAATGTGAGATATGTCATAACATGTTAACTGAAAAGTACCACCTGAGCCTCTTTATCAAAACAAAGATTCTGGTATATTCAAAGCGAAAATTTAAATAAACTTTTTTTTTCTTGACATTCATCTAATTTATAAACCAATCCAAAAGTTAAGTATGGAGAAGTATTAAATAATTTGCCTTTTTATTTTTGTAGGTGTGGAAGTATTGACATAAATATACAGTTTGACGATTTCGAAATTTCCAATGTCACGCACAAACCGAAATTCGAGGTAAAATTATGACTCTTTGCATATTAAATAACTGGTTTAAAATTGCATTTGGGAACAATTTTTTTTTCATTCCTATTGCATATTTTTTAGCAGATTATAAATACTTTCGTATAGCTAACTTAAAATCTGTAATCCGTTTCTTTCTCCAACCTACAGTTTTCAAACTGACATTTTTGGTCTATTTTTTGTCGAAATGTAGAAGTTTATGAATGTTATATATAACAGAGACTGCGTAAATGTTGCTACAAACTTCTAGGAAAATCAGGATTAAAATTGCATGAGAACCTTTGCCGGAAATGTCGTCATACGCCACTAGGGTATTTTGAACTATTTCTTCGTGTGTTTCTGAACAGGTCATAATATGAAAGCACCTTACGATGACAATTTTGGAGCATGGGTTCCTAAGCAATTTTAATCCTAATTATGTTCCGTAACTGTTCCAGAAGTTTGTTGCAACATTTACGCAACTCTCTGTTATATGTAACGTTTTAAAACGTGAACATTGTGACAAAAAATGGACTAAAAATGTCATTTTAAAAAAAAATCCATTACTATAGAAGCAAAACTAATTTCAGATTTTAAATCCCCTTACCCGAATAAGGCAAGATCAAGTATTTGCATAAATGCTGCAAAACATTTGTTCCCCCTCTTCATTAATTCACTATTGCAGAATCGGGTACAACTATATTAAATTTTAACTGCAAACGAAACTAATCGAACAACAACAACAACAAAAATGCCGCCCCTAAAAAAATCGCAAAAAAGCATCTTCTAATACTGCTCTGTTTTTGGACTTGCTGACTATACCTGGATTTAGTTAGTTTGCTTTGCGAGAATACTTTTATAGAAGTTTTACTCGCTGTTCCAAATGCCAGGTGAATTCGCAACGCAATCCATATACATTAGGGTGTAACGATTTTATGTCTCACCAACAGAGGGCGCTGTAATCATTTACAATAATTCTGAGGTTGTATCACTTGTGAGGCGGGCAAAGGAGCTTTTGGACTTTTTGAGAAGGCTAACAAATGTCACACCATCATATTTGTTTGTTTTAATTGTTTACATTATTAAATTTGATTGCTATTAAGTATGGCCTTTTTATTCATTTCACTTTACACTTAACCATTCTGCAATATATGGTTTGTAAGTTTCATTGCTCTAGTTACTATTTTTCCTTCCCTGCTGCCATCTTGAAAAGTTTGATATCAATAGCATACTCATCGTGAACATGATAAGTGAAAGGTAGTAATAGAGCATTTACGTTAAAATGAAGATCTTTATTCTATCCAAAGAAGGTAAAATGGAATTTAATGATGCTTTTCGTGATTTCGCTAGGTTTGACTAATTTTTTGTTAGGTGAGTTCATTTTAATTGTATATTATTACCTATTTATAAAAGCCGCTCAAACGATAAGAGAGCACCACTTGTTGAAACTTAACAAACATATTTATTGAAATTTATCATGGTTTTTTGTTTTTAAAGTTATCTTGTAATAAATAAATAAAATGTTGATTAGAAAACCGGAAAAAAAGATATAATCTTTTCTTCAGCCCACACGATTATATCCGCAAAACAGAGTGCTTTCTGATATNCAGTCAAGCATCACTGACCTCTTTGATCAGCCTGCGGGGGGACCGAGAGTGCAAGGTATCGGTTCTCGTTAAACTTTACAATCCTGAAGTAAGCCCAGGCCATAGGACTACCAAACCTGAGGAGCCATCTCCTCTGAAGAGGACCGAAATTGTGATGCCATGTCTTCAGATCATCCTCAGGGATGTTTTTCAGACAGTTGGCAATTGCCCATAGTGCAGCACTATGAGACATACCCATTTTCTGTATCCTTACACAGACTGATCAAATCTTGCATCGGAAACGGAATAATTTAAATAAAAATTTAACGCAAATACACAGCGAATTGATTCCTCTGTATTGATTTCCACGTGAAAAATTTTCCTAATTTATTTGGTTGGACCAAATCAATCCAATTTCATTTTAGAAGTCAACAATGTTACGATTAGGGAAAATAGCCTTCCGGCAACTCTCCTTTACAATTGAAAGTTTTGGGGAATATAATAATGAGAAACTTGTTCAAATTACGCTAGAGAGCATTTTTGAAGTTAAATTCTACGATATCTGCATAGCGAGTAAGGCGTTTCTTTGTATAATTCAGCCACCTTAAGGAAATATCAGAAATTTGTTAACTGGAAACAATGCTAAGGAACAGCTTGATGTAAAAATTTAGCTTAGGAAAAAAATGTGGCTTTTCACCAAGCCCCTAAGCCTTATTTATTTTCTTTTCTTTTTTTAAGAAATAAATACATAATGCTAAAAAGCTTATAACATTAGATGTTTTTGAGTATAAATTTTTTTTTAGCAGAATAAAGCACTATAATCTGACTACGTCAAAAAAGTGTTAATTAGAAAATATTGCGTTTGCGTATTAGATTTTGTAACTTAAATTATCTTCTTTATTGAATGAATTTGAAGTTTAAGAAATGCTTTTAATATCAAAAAGGTTTTTGCCTTCAAAGAAAAATACTATCAATAGGTCAAAAGTCATTCAGGTTGTTTAACTTTTCTTACACATTGTACTAAATCAGCAATAGTTTTCAATAAAAATGCTATTCTCGGTTATTTTAAATGATATGCAATATTTAAACATTTCTAAATATATTTGCAATGGCTATTTTAAATGTTTAACAAAATTTAAATACCAAATTGCATTTCATTTACAAGTTTAATGTTATTATTAATTTAAATAGCTTACCATGACCACGTGAAACCAGCAAAAAAAGACATATTTTACATAGATGATCAATCATTCTATATCTCTGATAGGTCCAAAAATTTAATCTTATTTTTAATAAAGCGACTGCTTTATTTATGTCTCTTCTATTCAGGCAACAGCGTCTTTTTCCCCTGAAAAATTATCCTGAATACACGTTCTTGATTCAACGTAGCTTCAAATTATTATGATGAAAATAATGTTTAAAACATCTTTATTAACTATTTTCGTAAGATCACTAAGAGGTAAATAGCGATATCTGCGCAGGTGCAGAAAATAACGCGACGTCAATTTTGATACTCCTCTGGTTGGTACAATTGGTTACATAATTGTTGAATATTGCGCTGATGAGATTTTAAATCTGGACAAGAATTCGTGTTTACAAAAATGAATCTACGTGTTTTCTACATGCATTAACTATTACAATTCTTTCGTCGAAAGGAACGGATCGCAAATAGGTATTTTAGTGTCGTTTAAGTGGTAAATAACGTTTATGTTTTAGTTTATTTCTTTCGCAATGAGCTATCACCACCACTCAAAATTGTTCTTCTTCTTTCGTTTTGGGAGACAAAACTAAAAATATTTTCTATTTTTGACTTAAGAATCGTAATTCTTAACTTTTCTATTCTGATGTTTAAATATAGTGTCATTGTCAGTTGAATAAAAAAAGATGAGGTTTGCACAGTTTGTTATAGAAAAATAATTCAATGCTAGCTAATTAGCTTTTTGATTGATTACTTCCATGCCCAATCTTAACAATTGTCTTATATGAGGCGTGATACAGTTTGCCTCCCAATGAGATGACCAGGTTTGAATCCCAGCAATGGCTGATTGATAAGAATTCTGTTTCCGGCTTCTATCGACCACAAAAGTATCTTCAGTGGTAGAACACTCATGGATTAGAAATTTCTTGACACCCGTTAACCATGGGAAAATTTCGTGGCTTCCCTTTCCTTGTAATGCAAATACAGTTCAGTACCATCAAAATCAACAATCCCGCAATTTCGCACTTCAAAGTTCAACCCTAAAAGTAGCTTAAATAGAAGGCGGTATACCTGAAATACCTTCGTGAACTCACTTTTTAACCGAAAATGACTATGGTCTCACCTTTCTTAACATCCAGAATCTTTAATTTCTAAACCGATTTTAACCCGAACCAGAGGCAAGCCTAAACCAAGGTAGGTTGATGAGGATTTCAGGAAACTGAGAGTGGGAAACTGCAACGCGTCGACGAAAAGAGAGTAGAATAGAAAAAGATGGCTCATGACTCACAAAAGGCTGTGGAGGCAGTATAGAAGAAGAGGATACCAGTTTAAAAACCATGTGACGAAATGTGTACAGGGTGCTTTTGAATAAAGTGGCTAAAATAAATAGGTACAATAATCAGAAAATCATTCAGGAACATGTGGCATAAGCCAAAACAAAATACAGTATTATATTTTATATTAAAATTTTTCTTCATTAAGTCATTGGGATATGCAATTTTTTATGTTGTTCCTTCTTTGCGGTAGATGATAGGTAGATTAGGGTAAACATTAGTGTGTGAAGAGTCTGGATTATTAGTGATATGTTAATTATACACAATTATCAATAATAGAAATAAATGTTTTCTACATTTACGATTTTTTTAATGTTAAGTGCCACTTTCCGGTATTCCACAAACTTATGTTGTTTTTTTGTTAAGTGCCACTTCCTGGCATTCCATACATTTAAGTTAGTTAAGGTTACGTGCTGAGGCCCGTATTCCATACACTTATTTTTTTTTTAATGTTAATTGACATTTCCTATTATTCCCCACACTTATGTTTTTAAAGATTATGTGCTATTGTCCGGAATTCCGTACACCGGTGTTTGTTTAAGGTTAAGTATGTTGTTAATGTTTTTTTAAGATTATGTGCAACAGCTCGGTATTTCATACATTTGTGTTTGTTTAGATTTAGTGCTAATGCTTAATACTTCCTATCCTGATGTTTAGGATTTAGGGACATTGCGCGGTATTTCATACACTGATGGTTTTTTTAATATATCCTAATCGGAAAATGTTGTAATTATTATCATAGATTCTTAATAATAATCAAATTAAGAGATAGAACGTTAAAGTTTTTTGCGTTCATAAAAAATTTATTAATTGAATAAAGAAAATGCTATTTTTGATTATTGAATTGGTATTATTTCAGTAAAGTTAAGAATGCTCACTTATTAGCTGATTAAACAATCTTAAAACCCACAACTTAAAATGGGACAAACCAACTCTCCTCTTACCCTAAAATGGACAATTTTCCTTCACCGTTACTTTAAATTAAAAGACTAAAAACGTCCGTAAACAATTAAAAGTGCTTTTCAACAAAGAAAAAAAATATTTTAAGTTTAACTGCACTAGATTTGATGTAAAATAGTTGATACGATATTCGGTTTTGAGTTACACTTAAAATTGTTTCTAGGGTTTTAAAAAATGTTTTGATGGCATTCACAAAATATTAGTCTATTTTATAAACATAAGTGTTATTTAGAAAGCAATTGACGCATTTACGATCCATTGCTTATGTTAAAACATAATACATGTATTACTAAATGCAAACTGGAAATGTATAAAAAGTAAAATATGATTCCATTTCAAAGTTTAAGATAAATATTTTTCTATAAAACTAATAATATGATTAAAATCTTCTACTCAATATGTAAAGAAATATCAAAAGACAATAAAAAAAAGCGCTTTATCTCTATCGTGATAAGTTGAGAAATTGAAAAAATTGTTATTAAGTTTCAAATCTCTTTTGCTAAAAGAAGCTTCATTTTTCGCTCAAATAACTAGTTGTCAATATCGGCGTAAGATGTTTTCAATGCAGATGCACTGAGAATAAATATATTTCAAATTTTTAAAGCACCTGTAATGAAATTAAATATATTTAAAACTTTTATCGCTTTAAAAAGTTTATATTTCTTTGGTTCGAATATGTCGAAGTATTCCAGCGCACGTTCTTTTCTTTCTTTTGTTTTTGTTTAAGTTTATGTTCAATAATTCAATGAATTCATTTGTCATTTAAAGTATAATCATTTATTCACTCAATAATTCAACTCAATAATTCAATGAATCCATTTGTCATTTAAAGTATAATCATTTGTTATTTAAAGTATAAAGTCATTTAAAGTATTAATCTATTTGTCAATGAATCTATATGACATTTATTTTAGCGAACTTCAAAAACGAATTTTTTTTAATGCGAGAGAATTAATTTTTGAGTTAATGGCATCACAAGACAACACAAGCAATGAAGCTTTCAGCTTTTTTTTTTTATATAAAGGTACGATCGCGAGGAGCCATAGTTACTGAATGAAAATTTCACTTTGGTAAGCATGATCAAGATGATCACTTTCGAAAGTATTCCGGAAGACTGGAAATGACGATTTATGGAAGAGATCAGGGGATGCTAGATTAGGATCGAGTAGTGATGATAGGTGATGTGTGCCGAAAGGTGTAGGAGTATTTGTGTTCAGGATGGTAATGTTATTTAAACAAGCATGTTAGCTGTTGAGTAAAACGAGGGCTATCCGAAAGCAGGTTGAGTGTCATTTAAGTGATAAATGACGTTTATGTTTAATGTTTGGGTTTATCACTTTCACAATAAGCTATCATCACCACCAGAAATTTTCCTGTTTCTGTTTTCAGAGAGACAAAAATATAAATGTTTTCTATCGCTTACTTAAGAATCGTAGTTTTTAAATTTTCTATTCTGATGTCTTAAGATTGTGTCATTGTCAGTTGGGAAAAAAATGAGGTTTGCACAATACCGTTTACACAGTTTGTTATAGAAAAATAATTTCATGCCTGTTAATTAGATTTTACGATTGATTACTTCCATGTCTAAACTTGGCAATTGCTTTACATGAGGCGTGATATATTTTGCCTCCCAATGAGATGACCAGGTTTGCATCCAAGCAATGGCTGATTGATACGAATTCCGTTTCCGGATGGCATCTACCACAATCTGACTTAGAATGTCCTCAGTGGTGGAACAATCTTGGACTAGAAATCTCTTGCAACCTGTTAATCCTGGGAGAATTTCGTGTTTTTGCTCTCCTTGTAATGCAAATGCAGATTAGTTCCATCAAAATCTATAATCTCTTTCGATTTTAAAAGTCGATCCTTAGGGAGCAGCTTAAATAGAATGCGGCATAATTGAAATACCTTCGTGGACTCACTTTTCCTCTGAAGATGACTAAGGCTAAAGGTTAAGTTATACAATATCAAATGAGGCACTTTTCAGGATTTCTCCAAGGTGTATAAAATTGTGCACCAAATTACTGTATAAAGTACCGGCACTTTGGGTGCATCATTCCGAAAATCCATTTTACCAAAAATGGATTTAGGGGATACAAAAAATCATTTTTATTATTAAAAATCAATATTAAACCGTAAATTTTACAGTAATATTTATTTAATTAGAGTGATTTAGTGATTTTATGGTAATTATTACTATAAAAATTACGCTACATAAATTTTCTCGTCCCGCACCATGTTCTGATAAAAAGGGATTTTACAGTAAAAAATAGTGACTCAGGATGCCGATTATTTTACAGCAATAATTTGATCCAGGAATTTTTTTTAGCTTAGCGTATTGATCGGAAAATCTTTGTGCGTTACGCAACTTTAACTCTGTACTTGTCTCTTTAATTTTATATGAAAGTTTAATCGATTTTTAGAAAAAAAGAAAATGCTTACTTTCCTTTTCCTTTAACTGTTTCATTTTTCTCCCATATTGTGACCAAAATAAGGATATTTTTAAAACAATTTTGTGTTCTTATCAATTATATGAATTTAAATGGGCAATCAAAACTTTTATATGTATGTATTGGCTTTATTAATTTCTGATAAATCATAATTGTGGCAAAAATAAGGTACTTTTCTTGGAAATTGCCTTTTTTTCTGAAGAAGGTATAAAACTAGAAGAAGAAAAAATTTTAGGGGAAAAAATAGAAGAAAGAAAGCGAATTTTTAATTACTTTTTATTTCTATTCAAAATTCAGCTTTGGTATGGTATATTTTGAAACATGAAGATATCGGAATTACATTCTGTTATGACACATCAACTGCCCCTTATACTTCCGTTATTTCATATCGAAATTAGGAAGAAATGCTATTTACAAAGGGTAATTCACTGAATATGTGAAAACGAACTCTCTCATATTCCCCGCTTGAATGAAAATACCAGAAATATTCTTAGACTTATAATCCTATCTCTCCCCCAGGGCAAATTATTTGATCAATGTAAGAAAATACACTAAAGTATTGTAAAGATTTTAAATTAGCTGCCCAAACGGTGTACGGGCAGCTCATTTACAATCTAGTGACCTTTAACGACTCTTTCTCATTTTTGGAAATTCCTCTTGATAATTTCTCGCAATAATAAGTTAGATTTTATTTCGTTTAAAATGCGTTGCCTGAACTAAAAAAACACAAGCATCTGCCTTTTTATTTAAGAAAATGTGAAACAGAAGAGAGGATCGTTAAGGGCCGCTGGATTGAAAAATCGCTCGATTGAAAATCCCTAAATCATAGAAGTCCTCTTTGGCGACACCCGAACAATGTTCGGACATAACAGATAAGTGGCTAAGAGCAATGGTTTTCGAACTATAAACGATTTCAATGAATTTCTCTTTTAGATTTGGTTTATGGATACAATTATTGATATGATAGAATGTTTCCAAATTAAGTGACGATTTTAATAGTTAAAAATACATTTATAATTATCTGTACATCATTGTTTATACAAAGATAAAATAGCATTTTTATAAAAACATTACAAACAAAAAGCTTCCCGATTTTTCTCATCTTGCTCGAATTTTTATTCGAATTGGAACTGGACTTCTCAAAATAAGTTCTACAGCCGCAGGTAATTGGTCTCTTTGATCTAAAGATTCCAACGTAAAGTGACGAAGGACGTTGGAAACTACTACTTTCTCTTCCATCAATGCAAATCTTTGACCTAAAAAAATAATACAAAAATATCACTTGTTTTAATATGAATAAAATAAAAGTGACTAAGCTAGGGGGAAATTGAGATATTATTTTAGCAATAAACTAGTACTAGCACGACTGTCAAAACGCAATACTCACTTAACAATAAAGAGTACTTTTAAACGTTATGCCATATAGTATATCTCGTAAGCACCGCAACTAATAAGTACTCTTATAATCTTTATAAAAAATGAAATAGAAAAATACATATCCATTAGATACATTTCCTCAACAGCCAGCTATGAGCCAGAGGGATCACAGAGTTTTAACTAATGGCATGATGGTAGTGATGTGATCAACATGGTCGTGATGATGTCATGACCACTTTACTTTCCACACAAGCTGGTACCCATTGATCTGAAGATATGTGGTCTTTAAGCCCCGACCGTGATTTGAATACCCTTTTTCACAATGCATCTACCACTAATCCATCTAGTCTATCCTCTTCTTTGTCAGAGCAAAAGCTCCTTGCAGGCCTTGGCTGCCTCGACAGCTGACAAACGCCAGCACCTCCTATCCACGGCAACTCTCTTCCAATTTCTAATCTTTAGTGTTGTCAGGTCATTATCCATCTAGCAGAGGTCTACCTCTGGGACTTGACCCTTCGGGGTTCCTAATGTTGACCATTCTCATGGTGCTATTTTCAGGACTTCTCCACAAACGGCCCAACCATCTCAGTCTATTACTGCGGATTATTTGTGCAATTTGGGGCTGCTTATAAAGTCGGTAGAGCTCAAAGTTATATTTGGTTCCATCTTGTCTAGTATCTAATGAATCACTACTGAGGAAGATTTGATGGCATTTTTTTTTCAAAATGTGCAAGAATAAAAACATTATATTTAAGGAAGTCGCATAAATAATGCTAAAAACTTCCAGGCGAGTTTGGCATAGTATCAGAATTAAAACGACACTCAAATCCATGCCCGGAACAGCCCTCTTACGTCACTAGAGACGCTTCCACATTACGAACTGCTTCTTCTTGTGCTTTTGAACTGACCATAATAAGTAATGGCCCCTAGTCACGTACGACGACATTTTCGGACACAGGCACCAGTGTAATTTTAATCCTGATGATGTGCCATAACTCACCTAGAAGTTTTTTTATTTGCGTGAACTCCAGTTATGTATTTAAACTTGTTATATTTAAACTCATAAAATTTTCAAACTTGTACATTTCAAACACAAAAATCGACTGAAATGTCATTTATAAAAATTCTGTAACTGTAGGAGCAACCCTAATTACAGATTTGAAATTCCCATACCCGAGTTAGGCAAGACAATCTATTTGTATAAACTCAACAAATAGAAATTGTTCCCCAGTGTAATCACATATTGAGAATATTTTTTGTGAATAATCATTAGGTGCTTTAGGTGAATAATCATTAGGTTTACCATTTAAGATTTGCTTCGAGTTAAGTGCCCTAAACTGTGGCTTTAAAATTTTTTAAAAAAAAGAATCAAAATCCAAGGATATTATCTAAATAATTGTAAGCAAGACAATGATAAATAATGAATGGTCTCAAAAGTTTATGTATTAATAAAAGTTAAAACTAAGGGAGTGCAATAAACTCTTTTATTTGATTGTTGAAGAGTCTTGAAGTTTTTATCGAAAAATTGGATACATAAAAATACAATAGAATGGATTTACCAATGCAGTTTCTGGGTCCAGCTGAGAATGGTATGTAAGCGAAGGGATGTCTTCCAACAGAGTTTTCCGGTAAAAATCTATCAGGATCAAATTTTTCAGGATTTGGGAAAACTTTTTCATCTCTGTGTAAGTTATAAATCAATGCTACACACTGCGTTCCTTTAGGCACTTTATAACCACCTAGAAAACAATATTTAATTGGCTGCATCACATTATACACAGTAATAAAAAAACTAAATTCAAATACATCCAACCAATTTAAGTATTTCCACACCAAGGAAAAAATTTTATATTGAATGTACGAAGTCGATGCTTGTAAAGAAAAAAAAACAATACTGTTTGTTAAGTTATAGACTATTTCATGGTTTTCAGGTTTGCGCTTTTTCTGCTTTCGATTTGCTTAATATTAATTGTGAAATAAACAGAAAACGTTAAAAAATTTTAAGAAATATGTTAATGTTATAAATGAAATTTTTTAGAACTAGCATAGATAACATCTTTCTTAAATTACAATTTATTTTAAAAAGTAATTTATTTTTGTTACACCAGTCAAAATCAAGAAAGTATATGCTTCTTTAAATTTTGTATCAATTTTAGTTATTGTTGTTGTTGCAGTAGGCCATTAAGGAAAGGGGTGCGATTGTTCTTGTTTTCCTGTGGAGCCATGTATGGCCAAGAATTCGACTTCTGTCAAACCCATACGTCACATCCGTTTATAGGGCGGACCCAGTCATCCACAGATCGTAATTTTGACCTGAACCAAAGAACGATCAATATTCAATTCAGTACCTAATTCAAAGGTATAACTTGTTATGGAAACATAGAGGACTTTGTAACCGGACAGATTCAACGTGCACCAGTCATCATTTCCTACAATTTCGGCCTGCTGATACATGTATAATGTAATACATGTATAAGTTATATGCAACAGGTGCTTCCGATCATCTGTTATAAATTCACTTATTTCTCTATAGACTTTACTACATACAAAGACGTTTCCACTTGTAAAAATCTTTACATGTGTTTAAAATCTTTATCAATTTGAAATATTCCAATAAAATATGATTTGATAATGAAGGTTACTTAAAAACTTAGACTTCATGAATACCTAAATTCATTCAACATTCAAAGTATAACATCCAAAAGATCAGAGTTACAGCATATATTGTTTTAAACCCAACGCTATCGAGTTTATTCATTTATTTCCTAACAAAAAGTAGGCAGGTACTTTATTTTCGTCGCACTAAAGCTGCGCAATGGGCTGTTGCCGATGGTCGGGGAAACATCACTGAGGATGATCCAAAGACATGCTATCACAATTTGTGATGACACATCCTACATTTAGACCCAGATCTGAAGGGGAAGGAAATTTTCTCCTGATCCAGCTCAGCGACCGACCACAGATTTTACGATCGCGTTATCACGTGTATTGGGTGGACGCTACCGGAGTCGAGGAGTGAACCTCGGCACCTGCGGATCGGAGTCTGATTCTCTAACCATTGGGTTACCACACCCCGATAGACACAAGTACAATATACAAGTAAGTTGTGAAACTGAAGCCTTGCTACAAAAGAAACACTTGTTCAAAGAACTGATATTTCTACAATATACACCCAAAACAATGCAAATTTTTTTAAGTGGTTTTAAAAAGGTATTAATATCATATAAGGTTTCATTAAGGCTAATCAGGATACGGAATTAACGTATCACATAAGGCTATTTCAAAAACATTAAGAGCCAAGGTGGCTCAGAAGGGGCTAGAGTGTTCGCCCCCTATTGAGGTAGCCCGGGATCGAATCACAGCCGTGGCTGATTGTTAGGAATTCTGTTCCCGGCTCGCACTGACCACAGTACTGAATTAAAATAGCCTCAGTGTTAGACAGGTTTTAGGTTCGAATCCCTTGGACATCGGGAGGCTAAGTGCTTGAGATTTTCGTGTTTTTCCTCATCATGTAACGCAAGTGCGGGTAAGTTATATCTAAAAGTTCTTCACAAAAGCTAATTTCTCTCAATTATCGATCCAGGCTGGGATTCTGGATTGGGTTCAAAATTACAAGGCTACGGAATTGAATACTGATAATCATGAAAGATAATCATATCAGAATTCGGTCGCAAGCTCAACACAGGTTATAAAATAGAATCATTATTAGGTATTAGGATACGAAAATAATATCGCTCAAAGACTAAGTTAAATTGAAAACTGTCTTAATTTAACTGATTAAACTTAACTAAGTAAAATTGATAGTTGCCAGATTGTAATGAACATGTCATTAACTAATAAGATATCAAGGTGATCTCATTAATTATTAGGATATTTTAAAAAATGAATTAATTCAGTACTTATGTTTTAAGTATTTGATATTTTTGCTGCACATTCTCCAGACGTTTAAAAGACACAAATTTTGATTATTTCAAAAGAAAACTAATAGAATGAGAATAACTATTCGAAACTTTATACCGATTATTCGCAGTAAAATTTCGTTAATTTTTTTAGCATCTATCAAAAATGCATGTATGCATATAATTAAAAAAAATCATGTAATATTTACCCAATAAAAAACCTGAATTAATGTTAGGATATTTAAATTGGTAAAAATTTTTTACATAGGAGGCCAGTTGAAATAGGCAGAGCGTAATGATGTACTCAAGTAAAAATTATTATGAAATAAATAAGAGTTTCATACTTTAGACAGCTGCACTCTGTCTTTCAAAAACTATTAAAAATTTATTTTACTCAATAAAACTTTTAATATTATGAATTAGATAGAGTAATAAACCTATTAAACAACTACAATGGTGTAAGAAAGTAAAAGAATTAGCAGCCTTGGTTGATTGTCTCTAGAACTACTGGAATTTATTGATATTTGATAAGTAGATACATTGATACAATACAAAACAAATAAGCATACAACAATTTTAACACGCACGCATGATTGGGCATAACACTCGTTGGAATCGGAAAGTATGAAATTGCCACAGGACAATTAAGGCCGATTGTTAAAGGAAATGATAAACTGCTTTAGTTCAAGTATGAAATTATTCTCTAAGGCCTGCATATCTGTAAGAGGGGACCATTCTCCCTATTAACCCTTTTTTTTTTGTTTATTCTGCAACCGCTGTTTCATACCTTCCAACTCAAAGGAGTGTTATGCACGATCATGCATGTGTGTTACAATTGTTAAATTGTCATTTGTTTTGGATTGTATCAATGCATGCACATATCAAATTTCATTAAAATTGGTTCTGTAGTTCTATAGATTATCGACCAAGTCTGCAAATTCTCTTAATTCCTCACACCAGCAAGGGTCTGTTTAGACGAAATTTGGGTCCGTTAACGGACCCTTCACAAAATATCTTTTCATAAAAATGAACCCCTCACAAAATATTTTAACTTAAACGGACCCTTCACAAAATAATTTATATTTTAATCGGACCCTTCACAATTTTGTCTTCATTATTGGTTTGTTAACAGAAGAAACCCATCTCAGGAAGAGGGGGGACGAAAGACAAATGTAGACGAGCTAAATTTTGTTTCGGCAGACGCTTCTTCCTTTATTAGTCCGAAATGAATATTCTGCTTTCAGCAATATAGGCTAAATATCAAATATTTGTGTTGCACCTCTAATTTAGAAGCAACAATTGCTGTTTATTTTTGAAACTTTAATTTTTTTTATTATAATTTTTGAGTGCTGAGCATAATCTTGTATCTCNGTTCAGCAATATAGGCTGAATATCAAATATTTGTATGGTGCATCGCTAATTTAGTAGCTGCAATTGCTGTTTATTTTTCAAAATTTCATTTTTTAATTATAATTTTACAGTGTTGAGCATAATCTCGTTTGTCTTTGCAATTTAAAAACTCCTTGAAAAAGTTTTTTTTTGCAATAACGGACCCTATTTGCACAAATTCACAAAAGCGGACCCTGGTTGAAGGAGTGTAACTCAAAGTTTATTTTATATTCACAAATTACGAGTCATTTTTTCACAATTTTACAAAAACGGACCTTTCACAAAATGGTCTGGACAGACCCCAGACCAGTGTATGTTGTTACCTCTCAGAATCTAAATATGAAACTTACAAATTGTTATTTCGTTTTCGGTCACTTCTCTTGCAATGAGCGGAACAGATGGATACAGTCTCTGAGATTCCTAAAATAATTTAGAAAGTCATTAAATCTCTAAAATCATCAGATGCAGTTTCACGCATGAAAAACACAAACAAAATGGTGCGAATACATCGGATAAAAATTTATATGCAACTCATAACGAAATTCATACACAAATTCATAAACAAAAAGGAGTGAACTCATAGGATGAAATTTAATTAAAAGGCACTAACTTAAATAACTTTCCTAATGATTGGATTTTCATAAAATAAGAGTCAATACGAATGGTTCAAGTAGGTGATCTCAAATATTTCAATTAATTAGTGCTACTTATTATATACACCGAAGAGCCATTACATTATGACCACCCTTCATCTGTAACAATGTGCTCTCCCAGGTTTTCATGGTTTCGCGCCCAGGAACAATGTTTTCATGGGGCACATTAGGAGCCATAATCCTCAGAGAACAATCCCTGACGTCTGAAAGCTACTTGAACACAGTTGCAGACCAGGTTCACCCATTCATGTCAACAGTTTTCCCTGCGGGGGATGGTGTTTACCAACAGGATAATGCACCATGTCATAAGAGCCAAATCGTCATGGATTGGTTCGAGGAACATTCCAGTGACTTTCAAGTCGTGTCTTGGCCCCAAATTCACCTGACCTTAATCCAATAGAGCATTTGTGGTCCTACTTGAAAAACCAAATTCGTGCTGACACGCTATCCCCTCGCAATGTGAGGGAATTACAGGACCAGTTGGTGAGCGCTTGGTACCAGATACCTCAGACTACCTATCAGCACCTTGTGGAATCAATGCCACGGCGGGTGCTAGCAGTTTTGAGGGCTAAAGGTGATCCTACATGTTATTAGCAGGGGGTCATAATGTAATGGCTCTTCGGTGTAAGTCAGATGTAAAACGTACTTTCTTTGAAAAACACACCTTTTTTTTTGACAGATTTGGATTTTTTTTAATAAAACAATATAAAAAATAACCGCATTCTCGATAATATGGTCCTGACATTATGCTTAAAATTTCCGGCCGTTTGGTGTAATGTCATTTTTTTTTGTGCTTTTTGACATATTAGAACTTTTTAAGTATCGCAAAAAGAGCGAGGAAAGCTTTGCTCGTTGTATTTATCAGAGTTTGAAGCATTACTATAACCCACACAAAATGACTATTAGTACAGTTTTTATTGGATTATGTGTGATCTCTTAATTTACAATAAAGAGCTTAAATTTGGTACTTGTTTAATGATTTGTTAATTTGCATTGCATTTAATTCATCATATGCCACAAAAATTTAAGATTTACCTTAAGAACAAGATCAAGGTAGGTCATGTCCTTCAAATCATCCGTCGTTATTAATCTGTCCCTGTCATCTCCAAATATGCGGTCCATTTCTTCATGAATTTTGTCTTGAACGTCTTTGTGAAGACCAATTAGGTAGAGAGCCCAACTGATTCCCATGGATGTTGTATCGTGACCCTATCATGCATAAAAGTAAATCAAATAAATTATTATACATTTCTTCTATATTGAATATTTATATATGATGTTTCAAACCCATTGCCCTTAATGTAAGATTTTCTGTAATGACCACCTTTAATCTATATACTTTAAAACTTTTGTAAGCTGAGCTGCCATGGTAGCCCATTGGTTAGAGAATCGGTAGAATAAAAGCGAAAATTTTATCGGCCCGGATTCGATCCTCGATTCTACTAAGACTTACACAGTACACGCGATATACGGGATCGTAAGTTCTGTGGAATTAAAAGTTCAGCAGTCAGTCACTTAACAGTAACATGGAGTTCAGGGTTCTGGAGAAATTTTCCTTCCTCTTCTGATTTGTGTCTAAATTGAGGAAGTGGTCTCATGATTGAGTGATGCTTCCATGTATTCGTGTGGTTCTTACCTTTGCGGCGCTCTCTTGTCAGACGAAAAAAGCTCTTTCCTGACTTAATTCACATAAGGCCAGTGGCTGAAGAGCAAGGATTGTTGATGTGTCATTAGAAAGAATAACAACGAACTAGTAAGAAGAGAAACAAAAAAATCTATGCTCATTTTAAGTCGCATATAAATGTTAAGTGCATGTACTTTCATTATTCAGATTGGGATTAAAAGCAGCTCATTTGGCTAATATGTCTATAAAGCACATAATTTTCTTTAAAAAACGTTATTAAGTTTCATCTTGAAAAAAAGCTTCAGATTATCATACATTTTTCGCTTGTTGTTCAGATTATCATACAATACTGCCTTTTACTCCCTTAATTGATTTGTGGTAAAAATTGTTTCTGTTTCTTCTAACGTAGATATTAATTCAGGATAGCTAAAGAGTTTTGCTTTCTGCCCCTGTATTTTGCAAGGAATCTAAACATTTAAATTTATGGTAGGATTTGTAGAACATCCCGTGTATTTTTCGGCTCATCAAATTCCTTGTCAAAAACGATTTTAGATCACTCTGCAAGAGATGAAAATTAAATTTTAAGTAACAATAACAATAACCATAGCATTTAGAAAAATCTCAAGGATCATTACTAAAGTCAACCATTGCAACGGCGTGCAAGATAAAAAAGAATGAAATTTATTTTGATTATCGAATGAAAATAAAAGCAGATGAAAGTTAGAAATCTGTTTTATTCAGCTGCCTGTTTCATTGTGATTCGTGATGGTCAGGGAAACATCCCTGAGGATGATCAGAATACACAATTTTGATCCTCTGCAGAGGAGTGATGGCTCCTCTGTTTTGACAGTCCGGAAATCGGTTCCAATACTGGCTGATCGAAGTGGTTGCCCAACCGCTTACTTACAAGCTTCTGATGCTTGACTTCGGAGTGGGAACAGTGACTTTACAGTGATCAGTCCTCTGAGTGACTAATACTTTGGAAGAATGAATGTAAAAGAATAATGGGAGATAAAAGAATTACTTCAAAAGCAAAAGTGTCAACTTCTTCTCTAATTTCATGTTCCGTGAGTTCTTTTGTCTGAACATGATGTTCTAATAAAACATCCATCAGTGCTTTCCTCTTTCTTTTCTCTGAAGTAGTCTCCCCGCCGCTCAGTAACTTCGTCTTCTTCTCTTGAATTACCTAAAACAATTGGTGAAATATATTTTAGTGAAATGCGTATCAATAAAAGATAAAAGTAAAAATGAAGATAAAACGCAGTGAAGAATATACATATTGACCCCCATAGAGAGCGGTTACAAACTTGAAGGGTACACCACTCAATGCTGAAGAGTAGTTCCCTAACTACAGGGGTCTGTCCAGACATTTTGTAAAAGGTTCGTTTTCGTAAAATTGTGAAAAAATTACTCGTAATTTGTGAATATAAAATAAACGTTAAGTCACATTCCTTCAACTAAGATCCGCTTTTGAGAATTTGCGCAAATAGGGTTCGTTATTGCAAAAAACTTTTTCAAGGAGTTTTTAAATTGTAAAAACATACAAGATTATGCTCAACACTGTAAATATATAATCAAAAAAATAAAATTTTAAAAAATAAACACCAATTGCAACTACTAAATTAACGATGCAACATATAAATATTTGGTGTTTAGCCTATACTGCTGAAAGCAGAATATTCATTTCGGACGAAAAAAGGAAGAAGCGTCTGCCGAAGACAAAATTTAGTTCGCTTACATCTGTCTTTCTCCCCCCCCCCTTCCTGAGAAGGATTTATGCGATTATTAAAACAATAATGAAGATAAACAAATTTGAGAAGGGTCCGATTAAAAGATAAATTATTTTGTGAAGGGTCTGTTAACAGACCCAAATTTCTTCTAAACAGACCCCTGAACTATGTTAATTATTATTAGGCAGGAGTATTTTGGAATACTAACTATGGTAATTACTAGATGCTGCATTATAATATAGCAACCCATGGCTGAAAATGTCACTCTACGCAGTCAAGGCGCTTTACTTTTATAGACAAGTTGTTCATGCTCAATTAAACCGGTTATTTTGTTCACCTAAACTATCTTAACTTACCCTAGTAGAAATATAACTATAGTTTTCATTGAACCAATATTCACGTTGTTGCTGTTGTAGTTCATTTACATCGCCCTAGAGCCGCACAATGGGCTATTGGCGACGGTCTGGGAAACATCCCTGAGGATGATCGGAAAACATGCCATCACAATTTTGATCCCCACAATTTTGATTTTGATTTGGAGAGGGGATTGCACCCCCGCTTCGGCAGCTCAACGACCTGCACGAGAAGTCGAGCACTTTACGATAGAACAGTTCATCGAGGACCAATACCGCACACCCTCGGTCCCTACGCAGACTGATCCAAGTGGTCACCCACCTGTACACTGACCGCAGCCAGTGATGCTTGACTTCGGTGATCTGCTGGGAACCGTGTCTTAACGATCAGTCCACTGCGGGACCAATATTCACGAATCTTGCCTAAATAAAGGTTTAAACGGCCGTTGTTTTCCGATATTGGCTTTAAGTAGAATTGTCATATTCATGCAATATTTTATAGCCACTTTGCAACCAATATCGGCTCTATATAAAACTGTCATATTCTCCAGATATTTTATTATCATTATTCAGTCAATATAAGCTCTATACTGGTTCTATATAGGGCGATATTGGCCTGAAATAGGCCCAATATTTAAAATTCCAGACATCAAAATATTGGTCCCTCAGTGCTTGTTCTTATCGAACCCATATTCTGTCAACTTTGAGCCAAACTGGGGCCAAAGTAAAATTGTTGCTAGGGTGATGTTTTCTTATAATTAGTGTCAAACATTGCTAGCATATATTCAAAGAGTTAATTCTATCATAACTTGCTTATTTCGCATACAAATTTTTGTTTGCTTAATAAGCAAGTCTTTATCTCCCTAGCGCTGCAAGATCGTCGCCAAATTAATTGATTACGAGAAAACAGCTAAATCTTTTATCCTATTAGAAACCAGTTTTTTTAAAATAATAATAGATAAAAGTCCCAGTTCAAATGCGTTCAAACAGTATGTGCAGAACAGAGATGTCGCCTTATGATGTTTTGGGCTGCGAATGATTCTCAATCCTTATGGTATGTTCAACCTCCCTTTCAATTTTGTAACATCTATGTTGAATTACCCTATAGATTTACTCATTACATTCGTAGATAAGAAAATAAATTATTTGTTATATCTTAATTGCATTTTACAAAATTAGATTTTAATTTTTCTAAAAAAAACGCTTTTAAAGCTATTTTATGAATTTTTCTGTAGCTCAGATATTATTGTGATGATATCTTTTCATTTGAATGAGCCATTATTTTAGTTAATATTTAAGTGTTTTGTGCGTTTTATAACCAGTGATGAGTTTTGAAACCTCAGAATATTTAGATTCAACGTATAATTCATAATTTATTTAATCTTTCGTTTGTCTTTATGAAATCATTTCATGTAAAATGCCAATGAAATAGAAATGAAAAAATTTTTTAAAGAAAATATAATACTTCAAATAACAATATATTGAACAAATTAGCATTTATAAGAGATTGCATAAGCATTTTCAGATTACGCCTTTAAAATCAAAATAAAATAACTAATATAATAAATAATAAAATAACTAATAAAATAAAATAAAACTTACGGAGTCTGTAAAATTATGCAGTAACTTAATATCCTTTTTTTGCTGCTTTCCCAATTCTGTTAAGGCAAATGTTGCTTCCAACCAATATTTCGGGTTGAACATTCTTTCCATCATTGTCTCTGACACTCTGTTGAAATTAAAAAAATAATAATAATAAGATGCTACCTTGTACAAAACGTATTTGTAATAGGATTTACATTAGCTTATTCTCCATCCAATAAAGATTAACACTACGGCAAACACAAAAGTAATCCGAATTTAAAACCTTGTCATGAAAAAATAGATGATGATTGGATACCTCCAAGTGACGTCATCAAAGACATATGTTATTTGTCGATTCAGAAGCTAATCAGGTTCGAGACATGCGTGTACCCAAGTAAAAATTTTCGATGGTTTTCGAATGCTGGACCAACATAATCTTGATGATAACTATCAATAATTCCATCATGAACCATTATATTTTTTATAGTAACCAATATAAGCAACCATCACCCCAATGTAAGAATTGGGCTGATTTATGATGGTCCAACATGAGAATAGCAAATTGTTTTGATGGCTTGTTCATATTGAATCATCAGAAATTTCCATCATAGCTTCTTAAAAATCAAATGTTTTTACGATCATGAACCATCATCATCCCAATGTATGAATTCGGACTGATTTATGGTCCAACATGAGAATAGCAAATTGTTTTGATGGTTTGTTCATATTGAATCATCAGATATTTCCATCATAGCTTCTTAAAAATCAAATGTTTTAACGATCATGAACCATCATCATCCCTGTAATGTTTGGCAACTGTTTGGCGATCGTTCAGGCGCACTTGGCGCATTGTGTCACCCCTTCGGGGGCATGCTAGGAATCGAGGTAGATGTATGTTTACCTTGGTCGGGAGAGGTTCTCCCTTGGTTGTTTAAGAGCTGGATGCTCGAATATAAAAATAATGACTAATTTCTTTTAGTTCTGAATAAAGTTAAGTTTATTATTATGAAAATCTGGTGTGATTATTTGTATGGAATATAGTCATTACAATCCCAATGTATGAATTCGGACTGATTTATGATGATCCAACATTTAAAAGAAATGTTTTGATGCAATACTCCTGAAAACCAACAATAATTCCCATTAAATCATCATGGAAATGTGTAATTGGTACCATCATGAACCATTACGGATCATCAGGGATTGTTGGTCCATGAGAGTCAAACTTCTCTTAATGGTTAATCATAGTATTAAAGAAGCATTTTCCATCATGGAATGATGGAAGTTTGTTGGCATATCAAAACTCATGAACACAAAATGGAAAATGTTGAATGATGTTGGACCATCATGAATTACACTGAAGCCAACGTAAACCATCAAAATTTTGGTGGTATGATCAAGAATTTTGACTTGGGAAACGTCGCTCGCAGGTGTCCAATTAAATCTGATTTAAATCTCATGGACTGGCGTAATCACTTTACTTCTTCTCGAGCTGCAAGTACCCAATTAGTATTATCTGTTGTTTTAGTTTTCGTTCGCCTTAGTATATGTTCACATCTTCATAATCTGAAAAATGATCTGCATTACTTTCAATTTCGCTAGCGAACGCCATTTTTTTACTCTTTTCTCAATGTAAATTCATCTACCATCATATATACAATTGTACAAAACACGTCTGCAATCCCACAAATAGCAAAACTCCCAAACAAAAATTGGCAAACTTCCAATAGCAGCAGATTATTATTATTTTTTGTTTCCCTTCAGGCCGAATAAAAACGAGATAGAACAAAACATATTGACGAAATCTGCTATGACCGAGTTTACTCGGGATAAAAAATATTTGTAATATATACATACCCGAGTTAACTCGGGATAATCAGTGTAACGTATCAAGCTATATAAATAACAGTTCTGTTTCTTATAAAAGACTTTTACTCACAAACAGAAACAAATATGAAGTACCCGTAACGGGAAGTTAAAATATTATAAAACAAACTAGAAAAACCCGTAACGGGATAGTTATAATCTTCTAAAACAACTAGAAAAAACCGTAACGGGATATAAAAAAACTCAAATTCCAAAACAAAACTAATTTCTAAAAAAACCAATTCTCTGTTGTTCTACAAAAAGTCTTCTAATTTCATCGTCTGCTTTTATTTTTTTTGTTTATCTCTTTATGTGTTTAGTTCATTTTATTCATGCTTTAGCTAGCCCATTATTTTTTAATATTTTAACTTTTATTCATGCTTTTGCTAATCAATAATTTTTTTTATTATTACTTCTAGACTTTATATCAGCTAAGCGGTTAATACAGATTTTTTCAAATATTAATTCATTAACTAAATTTAATTAATTATTTTTAATTTCATATGGTAGTTGTTGACCTAAGTAGGAATTCACTTCAAAAAAATTATATTACTTGTTTTCTTGTAAAGATATGTATTTTCAGTGTTCCTGGAAAAAATATAGATCTATGAAAATTACGAGTCGAAAACTTAATTTTCATGTAAAACAATTAACTATGAGCTATTATATTAGTGGTCGGATTGAGAGGAATATAGAAATCTCCACAAAACAATTTAATGGAGCTGGAATACTTTTGAATTTCGCTAGGAGACGGCCTTAAGCTACCTCCCGTCGTCAATAGTCCGCTTTAAAATTCATTTTAATTCCTCTTTGCTCGCATTGATTTTGTGAAAGTTGAAGTTTTCGGCAATGTCAACCTTCATCCATGAAAAGGTACCCCACCAAAGAATCGAGTTAACATGTCTTATATACTAGTGAATTGGAATTACATTTTTGTAGTGGTAGATACGCTACAGTGCTCCCCCACCAGAATTTTAACTGTGATAGAATTCGCTGAACGGATACCACTAGCTGATTTTTTGCTGTTTTGTGATTAGCCGGGAGAGATGTACTAAGTTCAAGGTCGTGGTCGCTCCCGTGTTGCCTTTAGCAGTCGAGTTTATACGTTAGGTGTGATCGAAACTGAGTAGCAACAGCGCGAAGAGGTGGATAATGTCGCAGTCACAAGTAGCAAGTCAACTGTTCAATGTGGACCATCCATCAAAGTAGGCGTATTCTTGTCAGAGTGGGATTTTCCGTCAAAGTAGGCATATTCATGTCACGTCCGGAGGTCACCAATGTGGGAGTTGAAGTTTTCGACAATGTCAACCTTCAACTATGAAAAGGTACCCCACCAAAGAATCGAGTTAACATGTCTTATATACCAGTGAATCGGAATTACATTTTTGTAGTGGTAGATACCCTACAATTTCAATAATAATTGGTCATAGTTTGACAAACAAATTCTCACTTAAGTATTAGTTTGCACCAAATTTATTTGCACAGTTCATATTTTTGAAAAAATATTATAAAAACATATATATTAAGAACTGTCATTACGTACCAACTTGTACAACAATAACAGTCTCCAATTATAACAATAATGTATGCAAGTTGTACTTTACCTTAATACTGCTCTGACATATTCTGAGTCTTTATTTTCTTGTGCTCCAATGTTAACACCCNAGAATTTTAACTGTGATAGAATTCGCTGAACGGATACCACTAGCTGATTTTTTGCTGTTTTGTGATTAGCCGGGAGAGCGGTACTAAGTTCAAGGTCGTGGTCGCTCCCGTGTTGCCATTAGCAGTCGAGTTTATACGTTGTACGTTAGGTGTGATCGAAACTGAGTAGCAACAGCGCGAAGAGGTGGATAATGTCGCAGTCACAAGTAGCAAGTCAACTGTTCAATGTGGACCATCCATCAAAGTAGGCGTATTCTTGTCAGAGTGGGATTTTCCGTCAAGGTAGGCATATTCATGTCACGCCCGGAGGTCACCAATGTGGAAGTTGAAGTTTTCGGCAATGTCAACCTTCATCCATGAAAAGGTACCCCACCAAAGAATCGAGTTAACATGTCTTATATACTAGTGAATTGGAATTACATTTTTGTAGTGGTAGATACGCTACAATTTCAATAATAATTGGTCATAGTTTGACAAACAAATTGTCACTTAAGTATTAGTTAGTAACAAATTTATTTGCATAGTTCATATTTTTGAAAAAATATTATAAAAACATATATATTAAGAACTGTCATTACGTACCAACTTGTACAACAATAACAGTCTTCAATTATAACAATAATGTATGCAAGTTGTACTTTACCTTAATACTGCTCTGACATATTCTGAGTCTTTATTTTCTTGTGCTCCAATGTTAACACCCAATGTTGTTTCTGTGAAAATCAACAAAGTGTTTATTAACAAGTGGTAGTGATGAGTTAAAAAGCATGAAAAAGAGAGTTGGAGTAATTTCGTGCTGCAATTAACGTTTAGGAAGAAAAAAATACAAAGCAAATAGCTAACGCGTACACTTAAAAAAAAAGGCTTTTGTTCGAAACAATAACTGCTTCCTAACTTTTTATAATTTTCGAATCAATATAAACAAAACTGTGGCTTCAACTTTACGGCTCGAAATCCACATACGATTACAATTCACGAACTAACGTGTTCTGTGAGATGGGGAATTTTTCTTTCATTGCAAGGATTATGTACTCAAAGTTATTTTTGTGAATGAACTAATTTGTTTAGCACAGTTAAAAGAAACAGCTTCCTAAATGTGTTGGATATTTATATTTATGATACAAATGACAGTCGAGACTCTTCTTTTCTCATAAGAGTTATATTTTATTTTTTAGCCGTTGTTGAACAGCTGACCCAATTTTGAGTTTACGACTACTAATGTCAGCTCCGTAGCCTTGTAATTTCGAACCCAATCCAGAAGACGAGGGAACTCCTGGATCGAGAAGTGGCCATACTTCGCCTTCGTGGGGAACTTTTTTGATGGAACTAACCAGTATTTGCGTTACGTGGAGAGGAAAACCTCCCACAGTTAGCCTGACGGCAAGGGAACTCTAACCCATGATCCATCTGCCATTGAGAATATTTAACGTCAGCACTGTGATCGGTGCGAGCCGGATGCGGAATTCATATCGACTGGCCATCGCTAGGATTCGAACCTGGTTGACGTCATTGGAAGGCGAAGGCTTAACGAATCTATTTCTATAAATGATCTGTATTGTTTTCAGGCTTTTAAACATTTCTATAAGTTAATTTTAAGGCAGGCCACACGTTGAGGAGGCAAGCAGTAAGAAAGAAGCATACAGGCGGCAAATTCCAATACTTTTACATTAGGATGCGCAGAGGTGATGTGCGCATACTGATGCTATGTTTACGCTCGCTCTATCAATGGGTGGCCTGCTTAGTACTTCAAAAAAGAGAAAATATAAATTATTTAATTAATTTTAGAAGCATTTGATGAAACATTTATTCTAAATGTCATTAAGTGCCTAAGGAATTTAAAAACAAAAAGAAGGAATTATTTGAAAAATATTGTAGCGTAACAAATTGTTTCAATTACGTGTAATTGGAAACTATATGATATTTATGAAGTGAAATTCTTTCGTAAATAGTATAAGTATCAGTTTTGTTACGTTAATTGGTTCTTGTTCAAATATCTTAAAGCATCATTTGAATTTAAGTTTAATTTAATCTTTTGACGAAGAATTTTCATACTTTTAATTTAAAATGAGTAAAAATTATTATATTTAGCATTTTAACAATTTATGGCTTAAAAAAACATCTTTTTCTAATTTTAAAATAAGATTTCCGTTCAAATTTGCCGTTATTTAGATTTAAGAGAAACTGTGATTCACCATTGAAATTTCTTTAACTTACAAAATCAATTATTGAGGAATTTTTGAATATAAATGAAAAAAAAATTCGAACAATGTTTTTATATTTTAGTGCAAATATAATTCCAATAATCTAACAGATATTTAAAATAACTGTTAGACTGTGTTTTAATTATTAAAATATAACAAAATATATTATTGCTTGTGATTAGAGTCAGAAAAAAAAATAATCTACGTTGAAGAATTAAAAAGCTATAAAAAAATAGATTCACCACAAATAATATCTAGACTGCACAGTGTTACAGGCATTACAATATCAACAAATTCTTTTTCTGTTTCTTTCCGAAGAACTTTAACCAGGATATCAGATTTTTCAGCAAAAGTAGGCATGAAGTCTTTTAAAATTTCGAAATGAAATGATGGCGTCAATAATCTTCGCCTAGATTTCCACTTTGGTCCATCGCTAAATATTTTGAAAATAAGATAATTATAATCATAAAAGTTATGAATTATCATTCACAGGCATTCATCGATAAAATTTAATGCAATAAATAAGTTAGTTAATTAATAGTTAATAGTAATTTAAAGCAATATCTAAGTTAAATTTTTTTGGTCAATGCTTTATTTTAAAAAAAATACATAAACTAGTAGGTTTTATACCGTTTTTTTCACAAAACAAATTCAAAGAATATAAGTTTTCGAAAAATTATTTCAACGTGCGTCAAATACACTGCTTTTGCTATAACCATAATAACGTGTTAAATTAAATCAAGTTTCTTTTTAATTTTAACCATCGTATAGTAAAAAACAAAAAGTATGAATTTGCACGACGATGTACAGAGTACGGCAAAAAAAAACGGACCACCCTGAATAACTTTTGATCTAATGAGCGGATTTTCATATTCCAGGACTCACTCCCAATGGTTAAAAGCGGTGACCTCAAATATGCTAATTAATTAGTGAAAGACGATATTTTAAGTTACGAAATCAGACACAAAAACGCAGTTTTTCTGAATAAATATACCTTTCTTTCAACGGATTTGGATTCCTTTCCCTTAAAATGTGGGGGTGGCCGAAATCTGGAAAATATGGTTCCGATATTTTAGATCTCTTTATCTTAATTATACTTTTTCTCCATGTTCCGAGAACTATTTATGCGAATAAAATTTTGTGCACGCAGTCGTAAAATTAGTTTCTTCAAAGATAAGTCCCTGCAAAAAATAATTTTTTAAATAATTATTACTTATTATTATTTTTTTAATAACAGTTGAAAATATTTTGATTTCTAAGGTATAAAAATTTTAAATCGTTTTAAGGAATTGATCTAAAAATTTTAAATTTATATGGCGAAATCAGAAGGTTGAACAAAACTGGTAAAATAATTTGTAAGAAATTAAATTTTATATACACAGCTCTTAAAATTCAATTTCTCATTCGACTATTTTCGTTCAAATTTTCCATTTTGAGATATTAAATTTCATTATTTTAAATAATACAAAGATTTGTTTTTTACGATTTAAAATGTTTCTGACTATTATTAAATAAAATGTTAATAAATAGACAAAAACTATTAAAAATGTGTTTTTACTTCTATAAAATAGGGTTCCAATTCGTGAAAATCCGTTCATTAGATCAAAAATTATTCAGGGTGTTCAATTTTTTTTTTCAACAAAACTTCTGAATCAAATTGTGGTAAATAATACCAGCATTCAGAGTACCAGTAATTTTTACAGTAAAATCCATTTTTACCGTAAAGTTTTACGGAACAAAATTTTTATCTACCATAATTTATATGGTATTATTTACTTTAAAATCACTGAATCACTGTAATGTACATATTAATTAAAAAAATATGATGTGTGTTAATTTAACTGTACAATGTACTAATGTAAAAATTACGAAATGTATTTGCAGGGGTCTGTCCAGACATTTTGTGAAAGGTCCGTTTTTCGTGAAATTGTGAAAAAATTACACACATTCTTTCAACCAGGGTCCGCTTTTATGAATTTGTGCAAATAGGGTCCGTTATTGCAAAAAAAAATTTTTTTTCAAGGAGTTTTTAAATTGTATAGACATACAAGATTATGCTCAACACTGTAAAATTGTAATTAAAAAAATTAAATTTTAAAAAATAAACAACAATTGCTCTTTCTAAATTAGAGATGCAACATACAAATATTTGGTATTTAGCCTATACTGCTGAACGCAAAATATTAATTTCGAACGAATAATGGAAGAATCGTCTGCCGAAGACAAAACTCAATTCGTTTACATCCATCCTTCTTGTTTTCTGTTCTGGAAAGGGTTTATTCGATTAACAAAATAGTAATGAAGTTAAACAAATTTGTGATGGGTCCGATTAAAAGAAAAATCATTTTGTGAAGGATCCGTTTTTAAGTTAAAATATTTTGTGAAGGGTCCGTTTTTAAGTTAAAATATTTTGTGAAGAGTCCGTTTTGATGAAAAGATATTTTGTGAAGGGTCCGTTAACGGACCCAAATTTCTTCTAAACAGACCCCTGATTTGTTTAATGTGGAATGTACTATTCTAAAAATTATGGATTAAAATTTTACGGTTACATGAATTTTAGGCATCTAGGGTGTCAGTAATTTTTACCATAATTTGATCCGGAAGTTTTAACTGTACAGTTTAAACTGCAGTTACAGTATTGTTTTAAGGTTACAGTATTGTTTTAAGTTTTTAATATTAAATGTAAAAAGTATTTTTGTTAAATCTCTTCCAAAGTTTCAAACACCGTATTATAAACCTAATTATCCATAGGTGGACTATTCCCCATTATACGATTTAACCATGGTCAGATTCTTATCTTATCTTTCCTTTTTTTCTATTCGAAATGCTACCATAAACAAAACCTTTTAATCTAACTAGCATTTGTAGACAAGTGTCTGTATGTATTTTTTTTATATTTTAAATAAAACCTCATTTAACGATATTCCATTTGTGTCAAATTCCACCACGCATCATTCTGTGGACGTAAAATTCAAGCCCACGACAATTTGTTTTCCTTGAAATTTTTATTCTTCAGAATTTTGTAAGGGTAATATTATATGATATTTTGATTCTATCATGTAATATTAAATAATATCGAATATCAAATAATTTTCCTTTTATATTTTTTTTTCAATTATGATTTTTTTTTTGATTTTTTATGAATTTATTATAATTAAACATTAACATTCGGTGATTTTAAATATTAACTTTTGATAACATTTTCACTCAAAGTTAAAATTATTTTGTTTTAAATAACCTGATTTTGATTTTAAAAAAATTATCAAAGATTTATACCTTGTCAATAGGCCCGTACCTAGCCATGTGTGCAGAAAATTGTAGCTCCACCCCTTCTTCATTGTTTTGGTTCCAGCTATGAGATCCTAATTTAAAAATTTATGTTCTATTTTGATAATATAAATATTGGGCAGGACTAAGAAACATTTTTGGATATTACACGATAAACGCTATAGTGCAGAAAAATTTATAAAAAGTATTAATTGGATGAAATTTTTTAAACTAATCATTATTCTGTTCGAGCAAAACATCTGGATATTTGTGACGGAAAAATTAGAAATTTAAATTATTTTTCGTATATTTTTTTATTATTATGAAAAAACACATTATCATATCTCTATTATATCAAACTTATATGATAGTTTTGGAAAAACAATGTAAAATTTATGCTTTTTTATAAATCACGAGAGCCAGTTGCAACAAAAAATCCTTTATTTACTAAATTCGAAAAATTACAGGTACAGTGCGACAAAAAATATCGAATCACCCTGAATAACTTTTAATCCAATGATCGTATTCGACTCAATCCTAATGGTTCAGGGAGGTGACTGCAAATATGCAAATTAATTAGTGCCGGCGATATTTTAAGTTACGAATTGAGACAAGAAAACGCAGTTTCTTTCAACAAGCGTATCTTTTTCCAGACGGATTCGGATTTCTGATCCACAAAATATAGGGGCTAGCCACAATCTGAGAAATATAGTCACGATAGTTTGCTCAGGAGAGCGATCCAAAGTTTGAACCCCTTAATGTTAATTTAACTTTTTCCGTATTTCGCCATATCTCGAGAATTTTTTAAGTGGAGTGGAAAAATTTTTGCACACAATTATAACATTTTTTGTGAAATAAAAAATGTTATAATAAATGTTACAATGTGAAAATAAATTTTAATAATAATTTTTTATTATTATTATTTTATTAAATAAAAGTCGAACAAAATTTGAAGTGTAAGGTACACAATTCTTTACATTATTTTAAAGTAAGTAATTTTACATGGCAAAATACAAAATTTCAGTGAAATCGGTCGAATAATTCTAAGAAATCGAATTTTAAAGAAATTGTGTGTTTAAAATTCGATTTCTTAGGAACTATTCAACGGATTTTGCTCACATTTTGTAATTTGCCATGTAAAATATTGTACCATGCTTTAAAATTGCGTTAAAAATTTTATATCTTACATTTCAAAATTTTTTCGACTATTATTTAATAAAATAATTAAAAAAAAATTATATTTATTTTTTGTTTGGAATTATCGTTGGATAAACGAATTTCATTAATTGTGTGCAAAAATGTTTCAATTTGCTTAAACAGCTTTCGAGATAGGGCGAAGTATGCAAAAAGTAAAATTAACAATAGGGGGTCTGAGCTTTGGATCTCTCTCCTGACCAAATTATGGGGACCATATTTCCCAGATTGCGGTTACCCCCTATATTTTCAAGATCAGATTTATAGGAAAAAAAACTGTGTATATTCAGAGAAAGTACATTTATGTGACTTTGAATGTTGTCTGCACTAATTAATTAGCATATTTGAGATTGCCCCCTCGAGACATTAAGAATGGTTCCTGGAACGTGAAGATCTGATTATTAAATGGAAAATAATTCAGAGTGGTGCTAAAAAATTAAAAAATTGCCAAAGTTAGAATTTTTTTTTTCAATTTTTAAATTAATTAATATTTTCCATTTTTTTCAATTTATATAATTTTTCTGCACTATAGGTAGTAATTTTTTGATAACATTATCAGTATGTTATGAAGGGAAGACAATAGATTTCAATTTTAATTTCCTTATGGTAATTGTAATAATAATAATAACAATAATAATACTTTTTTACTTCCACATACACGAACAGATAAAATTAGGCATTCCAGTTTACACCCGAATTTATTCGAAAAGCCTTTAGCTTTACATTTTAATACTCAAGATACTCTCTAAATGTATATATTCAGTGTACGTTTTTAGAATTCGTCCTGCACACACTGAATAAAGATTTAACAAACGGAACCCTCAACTCCTCTATAAACTCTCTTTCTTGGCGCAAAAATTAGAGATTACTATAACAAATACAATAAGTGTCTATTTAAATAAAGTCATCTTGAATTTTTGTCCTAAACTGGAGGCGAGGAAAACAATGAAAAATTAGCGCATACATTAATAATTCGTTTAGCACTTCGAATCAGAATTAGTCGATAATGTCAGTGTTCTTGATTATTCCATAAACAACTTAAAACACAAAAAAATGAATTATTTCACAGTTCTATTTACAAAAATATAAAATTCTAGCTTCATCAATAAAACTCGAAACACTCAAAGATATAAAATGGGGTAAATAATGCGCAAAAGTAAATAAATAAAAATAATGCGCAAAAATAAATAAATATAAACTCAAAGCCATTTTGCTTCTTCTCCACAAGAAAGAACAAGTTCAAAAAAGCAAAACAACTTAATTTTATGAACTAGATCAAAGTTAAAAATTAGGCAGACGATAATTCTCAACATTAAGGAAATCTTTATCTAAATGCATATTTACACGGAGCAACTCTTTTCCTGCCCTACTTAGACAAGAAAAACCATTGATTAAAAAACAAATGTCCACTCGAAACACAAAAACCACTTTTAATAAATATAGCCAAAATATTAACCATATTTCTTATCTGACATAAAATATATGATGTTGCATACCATTTACCAATCCCAATAGAACAGTAGTATCCAAATTGTGTCAAGTTTCAATGATGGTAGTCTTCAATTCTGCCACCGACTGAAACTGATTCTTTTTTGTATATACACCCTTAATGATAGGATAGTCCTTCACGCTTTCGTCGGGAATGAGGTCATAAGAAAGAGCAGATCATTTATGACATGAACCCTATTCTCCAAAAACCACCATTTTAAAGATTTCTCAGCAAAAATTAAGACATTTTACCGCTGGAAAATCCAACTTGGGTCGACAATTCTCTCCGCAAATTCCAGCATTTGAGCATTTTTTGATGAATTATAGCTTTCAGGCCGTTAAGTTATGCGGTTTGGAGCCACGTTAAGTTTACCACCAAAGCCTCCGTTATCCTACAACATTTACGAGCCTCCACATTGTCGTCGCTTTGAGGAAAAATTTCTCGTTTGTTCTCATCTACTGTTCTGTTTCATATATTGTTATAGTCTGTTTTATTTATATAAATCCCAAGAAATTTGCGATAGAAAAAAGCTAGCAGTAGCCCATGTTAAAAGTGATCCACAAGCAAAAGAGAGTAGGAAATTAAAAAAAATAAGATGATCCAAACAGTTTCGTGTGCTGTTACAATTAAATGAGGAACGAAGAGGATTTCTTCTCCATTATACAACAAGGCGGAGGTTCATTAATTTTGTTGAAAGGCTTCAGATATGGTAAACAAAATATAGAATCTTCTTCACGCTGTTAGGAGGATTGTCAAAAAATTCTAGAAATCCACTTATTGCCATTTGCAGAGAGAATTTGTGGCCTAAATCGGATATTTCAGTCAGACACTACTTCAATTTGCGATGCAAAGTTTTCAAAGTGTTGATTTTTGAATAATAGGATTAGTGCCATGAATGGTCTTGTTACCTGAGCTGTTATCTCCAAGAAAATAAGAGGATTATCCTCAATAATATATACTAAAAGGTAGCAATTTCAGTTTGTGTCAGAATTGAAGGTAGCCATCCTCAAACCCTGGGATAATATTGATGCTAATGCCATCCGAGGTTTAATAAATGGTACATCGTATATTTCAAGGCAAATATAAAGATGACGGATACATTAGCAGTGGCTTTATTTCAGTGGGACATTTTTTCTCTCCTTTTTTTATTCAATGTTTTTTTCCTCATTGTAGAGCAAGAAGTGAGTTACTCCTTGTAAATCTGCGTCTAGATATAGACTTTCTGAATATATATGTCTGATTCTAATAGAGTTTCTGTACGTCAGTTATGGCAAAAAATCAAGGCTGCTTTATTAATACACAGTATGAACCAATGGATGATATATCCAATAAAAACCTTTTATATCCAGTTCTGAAGGCAAATACTTTTCTGATCACAAATTTCGTGTGTCCATTGTATTGCAGGCATCGTTGATTACTTCAACGGTGATATGCTTCCTTTAATAGTATTTTTGCTCTGAGAATTTCACTTATTTCGCGGAAATTGAACATGAAAATATTTCACGGAATGGCCATTTTGAAACTTTTCTACATTTTGTCACACTGTAACTTTTACACTTTTCTATCAGAGAAGCTCTTGATTCCAGACTTCTACTTATGCTTGTGTATTTGTGCCTAAAATGACGATTTGGTTGACTTTTGATCAGTACAGTTTTGTTCATAAAAACAGAACAGTTCTGATGCTTATCGTGAACTATATCCACACAACTGACTGATATCTTTGGCTGAATATTTTTTAAAATTATTTATTTATTCATTTTTGAAAAAAGAAGCTTGAATTTGTATATTCTTGCACAATATGCATAGTTACTTATGCCATATGTTACCTACATAGCTTCTATGCCGTTAAAAAAAACTTAAGTTCATTACAGACATTTTTACCCTAAATCAAAGAAAACAGAAAGTCTGGATATCTAAGAGCTTGAGGGACTGAACTGACTTTAATTATGAAACACTGGGGTTCGATACTCGGTAGTAGATTGTAGCTCAACCCTGTTTCAGATCGATGGATACCAGGCTTTTCAAGAAAGTCAATTTGCAAGGCTAATCACATTGCCATCTTCATACTATTGGTAACTGTAAGGCCTTGACCTCCATGACTTCCCTGTTCTACAGTTGGCTATAGCAGTAATTATTTTAAATGGTCGGCTATCCACTGGTTCTATGTGCAGATCTAAACACCAGGTCCACACAGTGGGGTTACAAACATACAGACAGTAGAGGCGACATCCTAATCGACCATGTGATCCAACACGACCTGATCAGGCTAAACACTCACAGTAACCTTTCTACCTTTTATACAAACAATGCACAAGGCAACCCGACTTTACCATTGGCAACCGCGAGGGTGCAACTTTAGTCAATGACTGGTTCATAAGTGACGAACATACTGCGAGTGGCCATAGATACATCATTTTCAACGTAAACCAAGATACTATTCAACCAACAACCAACAGACTTAAAACAAACTTCGGTAACCATAAGAAATTCACACGACTAATTAAAAACAATTCATACAGTCTCAACAAAGAATGCTAAGCAGCTGCAATAGCAACAGAACTAGGTAATTACACCGAACAACTAATAAATAATGTTACTAAAATCTCAAAGCAGATCTACAAGCTAAAAACCTCTATGGCTCCAACCAAGCCAGCATGGTTTAATGGCAAGCTAAGAATCTATAGGAACAGACTAAGAGCTTTATATAATAGATACAACAACTGTCAGGACCCCACACTAAAATTACAAATAAAACTGGAACTAACAAAAAGCAAAGCAAACTACAAAAAACAAATCAACAAAGCAAAAGAGCACTCATGGAAGACATTCTGCAATACTCAAACACATAAATACGGGGCTGCGTTTAAAATGGCCCATAATAAACTCTTCAAGCCAACTGACCTTAAGTTACTTATTCCTAACATTAGTCAACCAACCAAACAAGAGGCAATGACCTTCCTCACAAAACATCACTTCCCTGACAAAGACGCAAACATATCAGATCAGCCTCCTCGAACACAAAACAACACCAACACAGAACCTAGGGTCGAGCAAAACGAGGTAAAGGATGCTTTATTCGCAATCAAAACAATAAAAGCACCAGGTCCGGACGGGCTGGACTTCATGATATGGAGAAGGGTCTTTGATGCCGACCCAACAATCTTAACTAACTGGGTCAATAAATGTCTGTAGCTTAACCATTTTCCGAACAACATCAAATCAGCAACAGTAGTTTATTTTGCAAAGCCAAGCAAAGATCTAACACAACCAGATGCCTACAGGCCCATATGTCTTCTACCAACAATAGGGAAACTCTTGGAAAAAATTATTTATCAGAGACTGATCCATCACCTGGAAAAAAACAACAAACTCAGCGACTGCCAATTTGGCTTCAGAGAAGGCAGATCGACTGAGTCGGCTCTAAAAACTGTAATTAGCGAGGCCAAAACAGCCAAAAAGAATAAAAATTGTAAACGGCAATACTATAAATCCCTAATATCGGACGACTTCAAGGGCGCCTTTGACTCCATACAATGGACACACATAATACACAGATTAAATTCTATAAACTGTCCAACTCAGCCCACAAACATAATCAACAGTTACCTCTCACACAGGTCAGTTGAGTTTAACGGTGGAACTGATATAACTAAAATCGATATCTGCAAGGGTTGTCCACAGGGCTCCTGCCTAGGACCCCTACTATGGCTTATAAGTGCGGATATCTTTTTACAACAGTTCAAACACGGCCATGTTAAAACACAAGCCTTTGTAGATGACTACAGCTTCATTGTCTCGGGAAAAACAAGGAAAGACCAAGAATCAAATGCTAATGAGGCAATGGCACAATTCAGCAACTTTTGTAAGGCACAAAGCCTAAAACTGTCAATTAACAAGTGCAACTACATCACTTTTAATAATCCTTTCAAGCAGAGACAACCAATAATCAAAATAGACGGTAACACAATAAAATCAGCAAATCACATCAAACACCTAGGTATAGTATTGGATCATCATCTAAACTACCTAGAACACATTAAATCACTAAGAACAAGAGTCACATCACTACACAATAATCTCATAAAACTAGCCCCAAGGACATGGGGCATTAATACTAAAATGCTTAAGCATTGGTACAAGACTGTGGCAGAAAAGGCTTTTACGTACGCTGCAGCAGCATGGGGTACTGAACTAAATAAAACCACGATCAAAGAGCTGCACAAGGTGCAGCGGCCCCTACTAGTCAGAATAACAAGATCATTCAAAACAACACCCACACCAGGTCTGAATGTTCTGGCAGGTTTACCGCCATTGCACCTGCAAATCCAAAAAGAAGCACTACTAGCTAACACATTAAGATTCAATCAAGAAAACACACAATATGACATAAAAGCGGGTGATTATCAACAAAAGATAAAAACACATATGGTCCACCCGGCCCATAAGACTAGCCATAAATACACTAACCTACCAACAAGTAGTAGAACTAGCAAGACAACGGTGGTACAAATCTACACCGATGGCTCCAAAACAGACAAAGGCGTAGGAGCTGCATTCTGTGTTTACCACAACAACCAACATACAGATACATACAAATTTACGCTAAAACAAGAACACACAGTGTTTCAAGCAGAGGTTTTAGCCATCAAAGAGGTCATCAATTGGTTAGAGACACAGAGCTGCAAAGATGCAACAATTTTCAGAGATAGTCTGGCTAGTATACACGCTATTAGAAAAACGAAACAAAAAGACCCACACGTTGCAACAACACAAAGACAACTAGAACACCTAGTCAGAAAATGCAACACACAAATACACTGGGTGGCAGCGCACATAGGTAACATAGGTAACGAAGTAGCGGATCTAGCGGCTAAAGACGCAGCAGCAGGTCACGGAATTCCAAGCGGTGTTCCGCTTCCGCCATCGAGCCTAAGAAATAAACTTAAAAAGATCACACAAAAACTTTGGCAAGCATACTGGGACGAAAATGAAAAAGGCTATACAACAAAATCATATTATCCTAAAGTAGACACAGACCGACTCATAGGCCATCCAGCAGCAATACAATTCCTTACTGGACATGGATTCTTCCCCTCATTCTTACACAGGATGCAGCGAATAAGCACAGACACATGCCCATGCGATGACACAGATACCCCAAGTCACTACCTACATGACTGCCCACTAACTGAATCGTACCACCTCAAAAAACCAAATGAACAAGGCAGAACGATATTTGCAGACAGTTTCAAAAACAAGCATATTATGCAAAAACTAATAAATATTCTAGCCATAACCAGAAACATCACAGACAATATGTCATAAACCTTATAATAACTTTGTAAAAATACTGGCAGCAAATACAATGTTGAGGTGTCAGGGCTCCAGGCAAACCATTGCTGCAGCATAAAAACACACTCTGGCCCCACCCCTGACCAGCAAGCATTTGGCAGGCAGTCAGTCAACACAAGCTGTTGTCCGTGAGGCAAATAAAATTTAAAA